GCAATTTGTTTTAAATTGATGTTTTTCTCGTTTTTTTCTCAGCCTCTTCTGCAACTTTGCTGAATATTCGCAATGCACGCAAGCATTTTGAATATTTGGAAAAATTAGAACAACCACATTCGGCAATAGCTCGTTGTGGCTAGACACTTTCTTGAATCTCTTGAGATAACTTTTTGACTCGAGATCCCAATATGACTGTATATTAAGTTGCTTATTTTTAATTTAGAACATAGTCATCATAATACGTCAGTTGTTGTACAGATATACTTTAATGCCATCTAGTGAATTGTACATCTCTAAAGAGTTGTGATAGTAAACAAAGTACACATACTTCCCTATTTTACTAATATCACTGGACGAAAACTTTGTGTCTGTGAATGGGCTAATCATATCATTTTCATCTTTTATATAATCTCTCTTTACTGTTGTTGAATCTCCATCTTAACATTCAACTTTTGAAATATTTAACAAAATGCCCATCGTTTCGCATTACTCATTTAAGTGGATCGGCACATGAAAACAATTTCGTTTGATTAACACCACCTAAGTAATTATTCCAAAATAGTTTATATTCATGCTATGAAAATATTTAAACAGATTTTCTGATTTTTATGAGCTATTTTTCTAATTATGTAATTATCACAGGGGTTATTTTTCTTTTCAATCCTTATCTTGATTGTAAAAAATTCGCATAATTATGTTGATAATTGATTGTATAATTAACCATCATTATTTTGTCTTCATGTCCTTACTAGGCAGGTACTAAGCTTATTCGGGGCATCAGCTTACAGGCCAGACCATAGCTGGTACCTTGACAAGGCAATTAGGCTTGGCTGTCGTGACGACCCAATAATTATCTTGTTCCTTGTAATTCTACGACACAGGGATGACTGAAGATGAGACAGGAAATGTAGAGTTTGAGAAGGAATTTGTGCTACCACCTGTGCTGGGGTATGATGCCAGCAAATTGTTTTCGACAAATAGCCGACATCCCCCACGACGCTCCTCCCTCACAACGGAATGAAAGTGTTAACAAATATTTGCCATATAAACAGCGTATATCACCTTGCCCAACGAATTTCCTGCTCAAGTAATACTGCTTGAAAAGTAGAGTTCACACATTTGAAACTACTTATTGATAGGCCATCTGTATTTAACTCTTTAGCAGTTTTATTTTAGGTTCTGTGACCATGCTCCCGGCTCATCAAGTTTACCACTGAACCTGTTTTCTTTCCCAGGTACCTCAAGAAGATATACCGTCCCAAATTATGGACTACCGAAAAGTGATATTATCCTCCTTTTTATTACGGCACTCAAACTCATCGTTTTCAAAATGAACTTATTTATTCCCAAATATTTCCTCTTTTTACTAGCAACCTTCTTCCTCTTCCATGCGTGTGACAACAGCGTTCAAGAAATGATATTCTTGGTCTACTGAAACCACCCTCCAAATTACATATTGGAGGCTTCATAGCTCGAACTCCATCTCAAATCCTCTAACAGGATTCTTTAGCCATGACTCTAGAATCTAGTGCGACCAATATACACTCCTAAAAACCCTAAAATATATAGACATAATGTTATAAGGGTCGGATTTTTAAGTTTGAGCTCATATTGTTCAATATCGGCCAAATATGTGGGGAGAAGTAGACGTAGTAGAAGAAATACAAGTGGGTAATGGATATCGCTAGAGGGAAATAGGCATTTTAAAGAGAATAAACCTTTTGACTGGAATTAGACATTAACACCTTTGGATACCGGCTCAGTAGACGAGAGGTTAAGCGTTCGCGCGCGACGCCGAAGGTCCTGGGTTCGAATCGTGTGTACGGAATTGTGGATTTGAACTGCTGTGGAGTTCCATGCTGAGATGAAACAGCCGTCCAGCGCTTCCATGTTTTCAAAGGTGGTCTAACATTGATCGGTTCATGATTTCAATGAGTCGGGAGAAAATGATTATTCGTAAATTTCAGGTTACAGAATTCTTCCAAGGCCTGGAGAAACGTTTGAATGTCCAGTTTCTCCAAATTTACTTAGGTGGTGCTCATAGATGCACACTACTCGCCATAGATATCTCCGTAAGGATTACTCGCTTTGCCTAACTTTTCAGAGATTAATCATCCCAGAGACTCGCTTATCGATTTTAAATATCCAGATGGCATTAACTTTGATATGATGCAGTTCTAAAAACATTTTGAGCATGCAGAAATGCATTTCCGGGATGTATTTCTTTCACTCTAAATGCAAGACGGCCAGGTCCGTATTACCGCAGAGTGACCATATTGAGTCATTTAGTTGGGTGCGTTGGTATGAATTTGAAATAACGAAATAGAAGTTTAACAAAACAATCAAAAACTCAAATTCGAGGTATGCAGTATGAGATTGTGTTGTATTATTATGATAGGTTTAAACACAACATAAAATATTTAAATATACAGTAGGTGTATTAGTTATTCACCGCAGTTGACAACTCTACTTTTGTTATATCCGAACGGAGAACAAAGGAATAGTAACAACTGCCAAGAATTATTTATGGACTATCATATATTTTTATTAGATAATTATTAATTAACTAGATTATGTATGTACATTCATATTTCCTTTATCATTTGACCATACGACATACCATTCGAAATCTAGATAGATTTAGACGAATCGTATATGCAACCTTAAAATCAAACTATGAATCAGTAGAATGATTATAGTCGATATGTTCAAATATGAAACTTGTAACTGCTTTCCTCAACCTTGTAGAACCACGTTAGGAAATGTCCCCATGTCAGAGTTGTAAGCGAGCGCTGGCTACAGCCAATGTACCTTACTCCACAAGAGCAGGTAAACTGGTAGATGTTGCACATTGAGGCAACCAGACGGGAAAGCTTATCGTTTATGGATACAGGAAACGAGCTACTACTTGTGAACGTTATTCTCTTTTGCCGCATAATGTTCTTTTTGTCACTGTCGTTAACCGATTTTTGATTACATCAGATGTTCGATCACCTCTAAATTCCAAATTTATATGGTTTTTTATAAACGAAGCAACCGGATTCCGTCAAAACTACTCTTCATATTCTTATCTATGAAGCTGTCTGGATAGTGATTTTCCGTTGGAGTCTTCCTGAGGAATGAGAGTTCTTCCTCAATGCATTCTGTATAACATATCCGATGTATTCGGTAAATAAGGTTTCTCTTTCTGCTTAAAGGAATTCAGCCGTAGAATTTGGTCGGATGGCCATTCCATGTTTGTAGTCAAAATATGGATCTTTTTAAGGGACTGTTACTCTTCCTCATCGCTTTCTAACGTGAAGACTAGCATGTGTCAAACGAGTGTACGATATCTCCCAACTCAATATTATCGTCACAAATGTGTCGTCCATGTATCTTACGTATAGATGGAATCTATTAATCATCGAACTTAATTATGCAGTTTTGCCATAAAACAGTCTGCTCAAATTGGACCCCATCTCTTTGTCTATATATTTCACTGTTGAAACTGAATCGGACATTAAAGGTACAACGTAATAGTAGTTCTTTCAAGTGGTCAGTTGGCAGACTTAGATCTATGTTGTTAAAACCACATATATGGCATATCGTTTCAATTAAAGGTACACTAATGAACAAAGAATTAACGCCACACAAGAACACGTATTTTCCAAAGTATTAACGTCCTTAACACGATCAGTAAATTAAAAGGTATCTTGAGTAGAATATTCAGATACTTGCCTTCTACCTAGTTCCAATTTTTTTCATTAACCGGTAAGCGCGGGGTGGTCGAACCCGTTGGACGAATGTGATCATATAAGTCTGGGGTTATTATCCCCTTGTTCTTAAGATTTTAACAACATTGTACAGCTTGATAATAAATTCGTTGGAAAGAGATCCGGTCGCTAAAAGTCGTGTTTTTAATGTTTAAATGGGAATTGTCTATCCATTGCAAGGGTAAAAATAAATGCAGTGCTTACATTATTTAAAAATTAACCATCATAGGAAGTGTCTTACGCAAGTTCTCAGAATGAGGTACACTTTTGTTACGGACGCCTGTCACACCCTGTGTAAGAGCATAAGCCACCCACCAGCATTCTCCATCCAACCCTTGAACCCTCCTTTCCAGTTGCTATTCATCCTTTCGATGTCTGCTTCTATTTCCCGGCGCAACGTGTTCTTTGGTCTTCCGATTTTCTGTTTCCCTTCAGAATCGAAAGTTAGCGCTTGCCTCATGATGCAGTTTGGTGATTTCCATAATGTATGTCCTATCCACTTTCAGCGCTTTTCCTAATTTTCTCTTCAGTTGGAAGTTGGTTTGTTCTCTCATACAGTAGGCTGTAATTGATGGTATCTAGTCAGCGGACATTCAGTATCTTGCGTAGACCATTGTCTATAAATACTTGTATCTTCCTGATGATGCTTCCAGTATTTCTCCAAGTTCCAGTTCCGTACAATAGAACTATCTTGACGTTCGCATAAGAGATTCTAACTTTGATGTTGGCTGACAGTTGTTTTGAGTTCCATACGTTCTTCAATGGTAGGAATACTACCCTTGCTTTGCCAATCCGTGCCTTCACATTTTGTGTGTGTGAAGCATTTTATTCTTCATGACTAGAGTAAAACAGCGTTTCTACTGAACCTTATCTTTTCTGCCCAGCTTGGGTCCAGTGGGTTTTACTTATTCCGAGCACCTCCAAGTTGTATCTCCTCAATTCCGTAACTATTTGATTAGTCCTCACTGTCTCCCACGTTGTCCGGACATTCCATGTACCTATATTAATTGTTCCTCTGGTTGTTAGAATGGGCATCGGCCTCGTGACTTCCGAATAATCTCGGCATTTAACATGAGGCGTTATAATTCTTCTAAATGAAGATCCTTCAACTCTCAAGGCAGAGTTCAAATTGTTAATTCTGGTTAGCGTTTTTTAGCAAGGCATTAAACCTAGAAGGGCGGAGTTACAGTGATGATTATGATTGACACTTAAGCCAGGATTTATTATGCTGAACTTAAACGATATCAACTACTGACTGTCTTGTCAACTTTGGTATAAAATTTCAGTTATAACAAAAGCAATTATTGATGTTAGAGGTGTAAAAGAAATGGAAACAAAAACTTCATTAATAAGAAATGTACACAATCATAATTTCTCCAATTTAGTTAGTTGCATTAGTAAATAAGTTTGTAAGACCGAAATCATTTTCAATATGAGATGTATCCCTTTTCTCACGTATACGAATCCACTTGGGTCGGTGCAGAGGAGGTATACTGTGTATTTGAAATTCATTACGAAAACGTTGGCTGAGAGGAACCTAAAACGAAAACAATGTGTTCAATACAGCATATAACATGGATCAGTGTTACCTGATTTTAAAAGAACAGCTATTCCTGTTTCCATATACACTGAAATAGAGTGGAAATTTCAATTAAAACCTAAACTACATACTAAAAGGGAAAAATGGTGAATGAATATTACAGAATCCTTTTTGATACCAGAATCAGATTCCTGCCAGTCTTGTAAAAGTACTCTGCACTTAGAACGTGCAAGGCGAATATCATACCTACGAACACTGATTGTCAACTGATTAAGTGCGGATTGCATGGCTTGGGTATCATAGGACAGTAAGATATCATCCTCATACTCAAGATTGAGACATTTTTCTCCAGGCAACAGATCCACACACGTCATCGATGGCAAAGTTGAGGACAAATGGTGAGGTTGAGCAACCCTGTCTAATACCACTGCTTGAAAGGAACAATTGAGAAAAGTGGTTGTATGCCTTCACTCTACCAGAGGTGTTTGCATATAGGGCTATTAAAATGTTAATAGACTTCTCAGGCACATCCATCATCAATAGACAATCCCAGAGGACAGTCCCGTCCAACAAATCAAAAACGGCCCTAATTTCAAGAAACACTACGATTGTTGGCTTGTGATAAGTAGGAAGGTGGTCTAACATTTGGCGGAGGATGAAGATATGATCAATATATCCTCAGCCAGAACGAAAACCAACCAACTTTTCACGAGTCCATCTTTCTTGTGTTTTGAACAATCTACGAAAAATGACGGAGGCCAAAAGTTTGGAGGTAATCGAAAGTAGACTTATCCCCGATAATTCTAACCGAAAAGATGTGAAACCTTTTCAAAGATAGGGACAACAATCGATTCATTCCATGATGTAGGAACACCCTATAATTGCCAGATGTTTCTAAACAACTCGGTTAGTTCCTTAACCAGAAAGTCACTAACATCTTTAAAAGGGCCAGAAGTAAGTCATCTGAACCTGGTGATTTGTATAGCTTCAAGAGTTGGAGTTCTTTGTGGACTTCCGCCTCATTTGGTGGATCAGTCGTCACCGGCCACGGAGGGCAGGGCAGTCTGATTGATGTTGCCGGAGCAGCAGGCCAGTTGAACTGCCCTTCGAAGAATTCTGCTCATCTTCCAAGACGTCGATGGATGCTAGTGACTGGCATCCCATGATCCTCACATAATGCTTCGCTCACACCAGACTTCTTGCTGCCAGTGTCTTGGATGAGTTGAAAGAGCTTCCGGTAATTACCAGATGCAGCTGCTGCTTCCAGCTCATTAGCACGCTCCGACCACCAGGCTTCTCCGTCCTTACGCAAACTTTGTCCGATTTCATTACGTAACAGCCTTCGTTTGTGGTCAAACTCACGGCCACCCGGAGTGGACCGACGGGCTTTGATGAGTTGTAAGGAGCCCACTTGTAAGCGGGACGTTTTGCAAAGCTGTAAGCGGCTTTACTCGCCATTTTCATAGCGTCATGTAGTTGCAACCAATGCTCATCTATACTTTTCGGTGGAATGAGAGCTAGCCTAGAAGCTAGCTCGTTTCAATACTTACTTGCAACAGAAGTTGCAACCAACCTGCTGACATCAATCCTTTGGTGACGATCACCTCGTTGGCCACTGAAAAGTAAGGTAAGATTGGCGCAGACCAGGGCATGGTCAGAGTCCAGATAGGTGCTCCAAAAGGAGCGGCAGTTTTTTTACACAACCACGCCAGCGGTAGCTCATCGCGATGTGATCAATCTGAGTCCAGACATGATAAATGAAGGACACTGGGTAGCACACCGACGATGTGGCGGTAGTCAGTGCTAGCCAAAAACAGGTTGTAGTCTGCGCACAGTCGCAGTAGATGGTCCCCGTTGTCTGACCTGCGACCAAAAAGTTCCCATTGATCACCTAAACCACTCTCTTCTGTGTCTAGACGCCCGACCTGAGCACTCAAGTCAAACGCGCTTTCTGTAGAAGAACAGTTAACTAGCGGTAAAACTCAGCCTTGATCGCGTCTGAGCTGCAATCTGTCGGAGCATAGGCGGAGATGACGAAAAGACATCGTTTCCCACACCGATTTTTTCTCAATTTGATGGAACTGACTAATTTAACAGCACATAACTGACTGTTAATGGTAATCCAATTGATCAATGCTGCCTCAGTTCTAGCGCTTAGTTCGACATCAATGCCTACAAAACCAGATGGAGATGCCACAGGGCCCCAGATAAACGCACGTGAAACGAGCTTTTTGAAGAGACAGATTGAGAGCGAATTTGTAGTACTTCATCAGAGTCTTGAATACGGGTCTCGGATAGACAGCAAACATCGATATTAAGACTTTCTAAAGACATAGCCAGCCCTATCTGTTGTCCAACCTGCATTAGTATGTGAAGGTTGAAGGCAGCCAGTCTGAATGGTATACGAGGTTTCAGTATTCGCATTCGGTGGTAGCATGCGATTTCCAACTAGTCTATGACTCGAAATCGTTTAGATAGAACATAGTTTCCACTATGGTTGAGCTGCTCTGTAAGTTGGAAAATAAGGATACACGAAGTTAGAATAGAAGAGAGTAGATAAGTGACGTAGTATATAAAAAAATAGTGAATGTGAATTGTCCGAATTTTAATTGGAGCGAGAATAGTATTTTCAGAATTAATTGTCATTATATTTGATTTGTTTGTGGGCTGTGATACAGCCCGGGTGCCCAGACGGAATCAGGTGGTTTTCTTAGGGGACCACACCCGTATCCCTTCGACCCAAAGGTCTGGCCCATAAGGCGATGGAGTAACGTAAGGAGATGCAGCTCCATGGTAGCCAGTGACCAAATATTGGTCCATACGCCATTTGCTACCATATGATTCTTGAGCCCATGTGCATCATTGTTTTGGGATCAGGGTTTCCCAACTCCTCTAGGTGGACCCTCCGTGCCCACCAACGCAGTTAAAGCGCCAAACATTCACTTTTCGTCCTCTCAACTTCGTAAACAACACTCGCGTCGCGAAAAGGTAGTGAATAGGACTTCTCTGGCAGTAGCTGTATACGCGTGGTCATGTGAGAGCATTTCGAAAGAGAGAGCGGACTCACTCCACCGTCGGGTGCACCGGGGCACGTGAGGGGGAATCTAGAGGATTCTGTATGCTTATTTCTGTAAAATGGAAGTACACCTGTGTTGTTCAGTTCAAGAAGTCTTAACTTAATATACTCCAGACCATTCACGCAATACGGAAAATGAGACATCATGACGGCTGAAGTGAAGTTTGTTACAGAAGAATTATGAATGGCTTTCTATTTACACTTCGAAATAGAAAAAGTTTTGAAATGGTCATAAAAAAATCAAATGATAGAGTCAGAAAACAACTTACTCCAATAATAGGGTCGACGATTTTTTTAAAAGCATCACGTCTCGCCCGCATTGTTGCCGGTTTGTCTCGGTTACCAAACATTTTTTCCTCAAAAATCTAGAATTTGTAAAAAGTTTGTAACGGGGAGTTTTTCAATATGTGAAAATTCTAAACAAAAACTGATTATTGAATAATATGCAACTCAATTAAATGTTCTTTTAAATACGTAACTATCCATCTTCGCAATATATGATATAAACGTGGAATTATTATAAAAGCATGCTGGACTACACATACAACTGCATGCACATTGCGGAAAAAGTAGTTTTCATTGTTATAGAGGTTTTTTTCGATGTTTTTTTAAAATATGTTTCGTTAACCTATTACATTTTTAATTCAAGGCTATCAGGGGTTAAAATTCTTCACAATTTACGATACGAGAATTTTTCATGTAAATTTCTAAAAGGATACTGAAAACAGACAATCTACAAGGTGGACATTACCTGGAACCTACATAGAAATCTACAATAGGAATGTTAATGTATGGTAGGCCACTTCAAAAAATACATACTATGATTAGACACTTTATGATAGTTGAACGCTTTTTTCCATTCATACATAAATAGAGCAAACAAATGAAAAAATAGTAAAAATTCTAGAAATGCAACAGAATCAATCGAACTCCCAAAATTATATACAGAATATGTTGATGATGATTAAGATCTACATTATGATGATTTTGCAGAAGGAAAAGAGATGACAATTTTACGAATCAAATACAAGAATGGTATAAATGACGAATAAATACACATATGAAGAAATGTGTACCAAATACTAGTAATGGGATATTTCAACATTCAGTTATATAGTCATGAATAGAATAAATAAATCATAGAAATTATTAATAACAATAGTAAAACAAATACATTTTCACAGAGAAAAAAAATACTGACTTGAATTTGTTGTTGTATTTGGCCTTCTTTAGTTTTATCACCATTTAATGTATCCATTAAAACGCGAATTATAACAGATCGTAAATTTTGTCTGGCCACAATAATATCCACAGATAGATAAGTTTTAATTCCAGCATATAATAAACAGTTTAAAGCATTTTCAGCATTTTTACCATTTACATGTAGACCACATAAGATTCCGAATAAAATAAATTCTGCAATATTAGGAGATAAATGTGTGGTAGCAATTTTTGGACCACAATTAGTCTGGGTGACGGTATTGGTCAGCTTTCAAAATGAATTGTCAAAAAACACAGATGAAAGTAGATTTTAATTATCGGTTTTACATATAATTATGGTGAAGCTGATACAATAAGAAAACTAGCCAAACTTTATTTAATTAAAAAACGTACTAATGCGATGAGGGTTGGTAAAGCAGCTTCATGGAAAAATTGACTACTCACTAATCAAAATATCACTTACATCAATCTATTCAGTGTAAATCAACAGACAGATATGAATTAACGAAGTCACCATTGAGCTACATATTAGATATGAGGACAGGTGACATTATTTGGTTCCTAAAACTGGAGCACGCGGAGCAGAGTTTAAAATGATAGAAAAATATTGGTGTTAAAATGCAATTCATAAAAACCTGTAAATTTCTGCACCACTATAATACCAGAGAAGATTAAATACGTTGAACATTTGTTGTCTAACTTAACCAGAAGAAAATGAATCTCCTTATCGAGTTATATCGTAAGCAATGATTGGCATCAACTGTATAGTAACAGATGTTTAACTCTATCATTATTCGTTGGAAGCTGCAACCTTACGTTTTCTGCTGGTGAGTATATGATGATATTACTGCACTATCACGTTATCGAATTTTTGAAAAACGATCAAATTTAATAAACCAACTTTGCAGTGCAGTCAACTAGACTAAACATTTAACATCAAAAAATAGCATCACGATATCTAGTTGGTAAACCTAGTGTAAAAATGATCCACAGAATTCGATAAGTAATAAAAGCTGAATATGACAGGGCTTAGTAATTAACGATTATAGCACCTCACGTGCAATTGAGTTTGTTCTCATTTAATTCGGTCAAGCCCTTTTGTTAAATTATTTGGCGGACAGAGTCGTCCCTACTATAACAAATTACTGTACCTTCATTGTTGTTGTGCTTGTATGAAATATGTATGCTTGAACATTGCTTACATTTATTCCTACATACTCTTTCGGCTCACTGACTCACTCATTCGCCTCTCTGCTTTGTGGTCTGAGTTATCTGCTAATAAAACTGTAGTCGCTGCTTCTCTTTGCCTTCTGATTTCAAACACCGTTGAGGATTATATGATGACGATTACGAGGGTGATTGGTTAACGAAGCGCAGCCACTACGCGACAACAAAACGACTAGCGATGCAAAATAATTTCATGATAAAATTTCTGACTAAAAACACCAAAGTTCATGGTTTTCCAAAAAACTAACCATCTCAACCAGAATTGATATCCATTGAGCAGCTTTCGAGCAAATTGAAGTATCAGGCCAAGCTAAAATTTTCGTCAATGAACGTAAGAACAAAGGATCTGAAGGAAGATTCTGGGCATTATAGTCTGGTTCCGATGACATAGCGTGCATATTTGCCAATAATTTTGTTAAATGTCCAAGTGAACTATTTGTACCCGACTGACCATTTGCACATATACTTTCTGACATGTCTACATCATCATTATCATCATCGCACTCTCCATCATCTTCCTTGGGAGGATTAAATTGTTCAGATATTTCATAGCCATTGAAAGTGTAAATCAAGCCTAAAATAAACAAAAACAAATTAATTTAATAATCATACCAAAACAGATATATGAACGAATGCTCTTTTCACTAAATGTTCATCAGGTTTTATAGTTTTAAATGCAAAACAACGATACAAAGTAATGGTCAAGTTTCAATCAAATACATATTTGCAATTATAGCATGCGAATTTAAGTTTATTAGTATAACAAAGTAAAGTTACCAATCGAATAGTTTCACAATATTTGATCGCTGAGTTGATGTGAGACATCAAGGAGGAAGAATGTATTTGTAAAATCACAGAATGAATTTGAAGTAAATCCAACGTTTCGCTTGGCAATTTGGTTCAATCTCATTCTCTGAGATTTTACACATACATTCTTCGTCCTTAAATTTATTAATGTTGGGATGTATAGTATCCAATATTAACTTGAACAGGTTTATATGTCAATTGAAGTTGTGAGATTAATAATCGAAGACTAATATAATATAAATGGAGTTAAAATAAAAATTTAATTACAAACTGAATCAAATGTTTAATTAAAAACTGTTTTTAGAAAACAGAATCAATAGTCCAGATATTTTGCAAACAACTAAGTTTATGTAGTAGAATAATTTATTGAAACGAAGTGTAATTCTGTGTACAGAATTCTGTATAAGTTTTTCTAGAGAGATATCACACAGAGTTGAAGATAAAAGAGTCCTATTTACCAAGAAACAGGTGTTGAAAACACACGGATTAGTGGTATATTTTTAAATGGTTTTACTACCCTGAAATAATTGATTCTTCAACGTCAGATGTTGATATATTCAACTTAAAGATTTATAAACTGAAGAAAGGTAAACCATAAAATCCCTTTTTTAATACTAAATATTATATCACTAGCATCTAGACTTAATAAATGAATAGGTAAATATATAAAAATGATCATGGAAACGAAACAAGCTTATAATAAATTAACATAATAGATAAAAAATATGATTTTCTAGGTTGTCTTTTACAGGTTAACGAAATGAAAAATGAAAGTTAGAGTTTATATGCTTAATATATACGATCTTAAGCTATATACTAGTTTAACTTGTCTATTAAAAGAAATACGCGAGAGTAAATGTATTAAATTTAAAAACTTCGTCCAAAACGATTAACTATGTGTTATCGAAGTAAAGGGAGAATATTGTTGAAGAGACAAATAGTAAAACATTAAAACACACGAGAAGCTATATGTTAATAGTATAAACTATATGATTTTATTAAATATTAAACAATTCTAAGGTGTTATGAATAAATGGTTAATAATGTAACAACAAACATTCAATTGGCTGATGTGTAGTGTCAGTTAATATGTCAAGCACATGTAACTGATTCTAACTTCTGGACAGGCCAATTTATTCATTCTTCTTGAGTCACGTTTTGACCTTGTTAATTACTCACTTACCAACTTTGAGTGCTTTTTATATGAGTATTGTGTGTGTACATCTTATCCTAGTCACCACATGTTTGTAGCTTATTTTTGTGCGACTATAAATATTGATTAACGCTTGACCAAATAGAGTTGGCTAACACACCTTTTCCGTCGCGCGTCATTTCGCTTTACTCTTTTCTCTTTGCTTCGTCCCTCTGATTTTCTGTTCAGATCAGTGAGTGTACAAAATATACGTATTCGAAATCCATTCTTGTATTCGGCTTATTTAATTCCGTTATTCACTAAGGCGATTTAAGTCGATGGTTATATAGGAGGATAGGCGACATATATATTCCGACGACAACCATTCATATTTAATTGTGTCCCGACCGTTGTTGCTACCTTGACGTGATGGTCAGGCTTGCCTATCGTGATGAAGCAACCAAGCTTTACTGGCTGGAACAACCGTTCCTCAAGGTCGGTTGAAGAGCGGTAAGACTAAAAGCAACAAACCCAAGGTCCGAAGGCGAAGTCGTACTGCTGACTGTACAGAGGTGTGGCAGTAGTAAGGTGTTTCCTTCAGACAACCAGCATGACAGCGATGCTGCCTTCCCACAAGGAGGGGTGGGGTTAGAAAAGGTCGACCCTAAAAATGCACACCTCGTCTTATCCCACGGATATCCGTCTCCGGCGGTAAGGTCTCAACAAGTACGGAGCTAACACAAAAATTATCCATAAAAAATTCGTGTGTGACCGACCTCAAGCAGTTGTCCCTTGGACACTGCGGTCACGCTCCCAGGTTACTAAGACCACCTCTAATCCAATTCCCTCTTCAGGTACCTCCAGAACAACCCTTCCACGGTGTGGGCAACAGGAAATTGATAACCTCTAACAACGCTCAAGACATTCATACGATATAACCAGAGTCAGATATGGGGCCACAAAAGTGGTAAGCCTATTGACAACATCGTCCAATCTAATTGACGTCTAAATGTATGGCCCCACTAAAGATGGTAAAAATCAATAGCTTACGCAATATATCCAAACACGTTCGACTTAACAGACGAGTTGATCTGTCTAGTACAAGTTCAGCTGCAACTGCTTTTTCGTCATCACAGATACGTCCTCTGAAAAGTAAACAATTTAAGATAAAAATTATATTTTAAAATCGATTTTGGTATTGTTCAACAAAAAATTATTCATCTTATTGATTAAATGTGAAACATGACTAGGATTCAAGATAAATTAACGAATTAAATGTCCTATATCACACTGATGTAACCACAAAACAGTCGACAAAAAACGTGAATATCAGGGGTGATCTAGCTGCGGGTTCATGAAAAAGAACAATTTCCAATTGTCATAAATTAAGATCTCTCGTAACAATTAATTGAAGAAAAATCTTCTCGTCGCGATTTTTTTAAAAACAAAACTCTCGTGGTCAGTATCCTACCTATTAACCATTCAAAGAGTGATTCATTGAAACAGACTAAAAAGCAACATTTTACTTATTTATACAGAGATATGCTAGTTGATCCAACAAGAGTCGTAAACGTTTTCTCGTCGTCAATGTCATGAATGACAAGAATACCCTAATAAAGTTAACTTATAAGGTAGAAATTTTGTCTAAAACGGTGTCTTTGTTTTGTGTCTGTAGTCAAGAACGTACAAATAATTTTAATTTTTTCCATTTTACAAAATTGCGTTACGCAGATTTCTAAGACCATTTTGGGCTATTTTCATTTATTCACAAGTAGATCATATGTAGTCTATAAAACAAGTTCATTCGCAGGTTTTTGAATTTTAATTTTAATTAAATGAATTAAGCGGAAATATAATCAGAACAAACATGAATGTCTGAATAAAGAAACAGGAATTGTACACATAAGTAATAAAAAGTCATATTCTGTCATCATAGTTATATAATATTTGACATTAGATTGTGGGAATACGTAAACATACTCAGCCATGATTAATTCATTCCATCTTGCTTCAGTTCTCTGAAAAAATCGAAATCGAATCATTATGAGAAATTTATATAGCTAAGTTAGTTTACAGTTAACTGGATATATAGTACTAACAGGTTCATGAAAAATCCAGACGAAACAATTCAGTTGCTTAAATCATTGTATACAAATATCATTATTATGATAGATTAAGATTATCCCGTTAGTCGTATTGTTGACTTAATTTTGATCAGCCTTAATTGGGATATAAGCAGCTTGTTCAGATAGCCTTAACAAAGAAATTTCCCGCAAGGTTTTACGGAAGAGATCAAGGGCAGTTAATAGAATCCAAAGTGTATGCTTCGTCCTTTTTGGGATTCATCAGCTGTGATAAACATCACTGCAGTGAAGGTACATTTTGTTGATGAATCCCAAATAATATGGAACGCGCGCAGTGGATTCTACTGGTAGCTGGAACTGATCTCTTTCATACAAACATTATATACAAAGCACAATTAAAACCTGAAACATGCGCTCACTGATATGTAATAACAAGGTTTGAGTTTTACTTGATAATAAACTTTTTGAAGAAAGAATTATTATTATATGTTCAATCTAAAGTATAAGTTAATTATAGCACGCTAAAATTTAAAATCTTTGAGAATTTGGTTGAAAAATTATGGGCTTAGAGAAGCTCTTACGAGAATAAAATGTCACAACTTATCAATTCAGGTAAACACAACCTTTACGTCAGTATGATAATAAGTGATTGCATTTTAGTGAAACATTCAACTACATTACTACACTCACTTTTTTACTGCCAATTTAACTTGGATATGACGAATTATCTTGAAACTTTACAATTAACTAAAAAAGTGTATTTAATCTCTACTCCCTTAAATATATTCAAATTAAAGCTTGGTTATGATCATTCAAAGCGGTAAAGTTGAAAATCTCAATGAAATGAAATAAAATGAATCCTTAAAACTTTCTAATGACAAATGCAATCGGAAATTTTATTTGAAAGTAGTTTACACTAAAGACAGATATCGGCTGAAGAATTAGGGTGGCACAGTTATTTGGGCTTCTAAGCAGTTAACACACATATGTGCACAATTCTACACAACACCGAACTTATGTCAAATACAGTGTGCTTAAACCAATAATCCAGAATTCAATGATCTAAACGGTCAGTCTACCAGTTTTACCTATTTACGTCATAGGTTTATTACACGAAGTACATACTTTATGCTTAGCATGATGTTTTTATCCAAAAAGCAATTAAATAAATGGAGGTGATTTCGTGAATGATCCATCTAATCATGTTTGAGATGTGAATAATCCTGTGAGAACCTGAGGATAGTAATGATCCTACCTTAATAGCAGCTTCAATTACTGGTGGGACCAAGGGAGCGATGGCAGTTTCAAAATACTGTCTAGGACACTGACGGATAAATGGACGAAGAATAGATCCTAGGTTAATTGACGACAGTTAAGAAAAATATAGGCTGAGGGCATTTGAAGATTTTAGTGCATTAAATAGGATGAATTTAAACAATTATACCATATAGGTAGCAATAAATGAAAACATATTCTTTTTAGCATGTGTTAGCCATACATGTCATTGATAAAATTTAACATTAATAATCAACCGACAGTCTCAATAACTGGAAAATTATTAATATGGATGAACTATCGCAGCTGTTTGTGACAAGATAATACCACAAAACACTTTAAGAGGTATAAATTCTTTGTATATGAGATAAATATTAGTTAGTTTATCATTTATAGCTTTTCATTCGCATATTCGAAGCTCGGATAATGGTAAAGAATCGTGATCCCAAAGTGGTTTTATTGAGCAATGATATGTTCACATCGAACTTAATAATAATAATAAGAAGAAGAATAAGAATAATGCAGTATTTTTAAAGGATACGTAGAAGACTATTTAGCTTGAGGTCAGGCAAATGTTCAAATGCAGCACAGCAACCATCGTGCAATGCAATTCTTAACTGTTCGGTTGGTAAACGATAGAATTTCGACCCCAACGAAACAAATAAAAAGCCAACTATCCCCATCAAGTTCTCATGACAGTCATTGAGAAAAGTGCGCAATCGGTGTAACGAAGGATTCGTAACATCTACAGACTATTAAAAACAATAAACAGATAATAAATACATACAGAACGGGATATAGTATGAGGGTTTTGTGGAGTTTGTTACATTTTCATAGATTAAATTACGAAACGATATTAGCTGGATCATGATTGAAAACCAAGAAGTACTAGAAAACTGATTCGTCCTGATACGAAACACCTCATCAGTGCTCATTTATAACCCCGCAATCGAGGACCGAACGAAGACCTTCGAAAATGTATACTTCTGGATTCCAGTTTAGTGGTCTAGAGGTTAGGCGTTCGCATACGAGACCGAAGGTCATGAGTTCAGTATCTGACGCCGGAGCTGTGAATGCGCACTGTTAAAGTGTTCCACACGAAAAAGAAAGAGCTGCCCAGTGCTTTCTGGCTTACAGTGGTAGTCGACCTAAGGTCAGTCTGTGATTCGATCTATAAGGACAAGGTTTCTTCAGGTAGAATAACGGATAATATTATTAGTAAAACATTCTTTTATGGGCAGTCGGCGAACTAAAACCAGTCCCTGAAACTCCACATTCAGCTATCTCTGCAGTATACTACAACAGTAACCCACTGAAGCTAGAGATTAATAATTGGTTTTATAATATCTAAGATATTTACTGTTTAGGGAACGAATAAATCAACTACCAAGGAGTGAATTCACGCCATATCTCACCTAATTTTGTGAGCAATAATAGTGTAGCCGTTTTTGGATGTAAATCTTTTGCTGTTTCATAAGGTTCCCAATAGTAGTGTCCATACGCTTGTCAAACGCTTTTTCTCTGATGGTCAAGCAAATAGTCACACCTGGATACGAAGTGTAACCATTTTGTGAGAACACTACATTTTCTGCTTTCTAATCGTTTAACTAATATCAATGCAACTATTTAGTTAAGTGGAGTGATAAACATACATAACAATCTCAATTCGCTTAGTCCAACTTCATATGAATACAAAATCAACTCGTAAATCATTTTAAAGGCAAAAATTGCTTGGTTTAATTTTATTTTACCATTTTTATTATATAACTGTTTCATACACATAGTTTTCCTTTCAATATAACTGTTTATTTAACCTTTTAGCAAACAAAAAGCGTAAATAATGTTAAATATTCTGTGAACAAGGAAATACAGATACTCAGCCACCGTCTGACAAAATAATAAGTACGACTAATTACAAGGGAATATATGTTTTTTTATTTTACATCACTACTTACTTTGAGTATATTTTGAAATTGAGAATTCAGTAAACATAGTTGAATTTCATCTGTATGTTGTAATACAGGAAGTAAAGTTGGATGAACTAGTTTAAGTGTTTCCGGTAACCAAAGTTCGTTAAATGCTCTAAGTTACAAAACAATTCAGTAAATACGAATTAAAATTAATTGTGAATGAACATATTCACAAATATTGATGAATTACCTATAAAAGACCAAAAAGACAATTTATGATGGTACTTACCGAAGAACATGTAGAACTGGTGATAAAACGGGTTCCAAGATGGGTAGTGAAATATTTTCAAGCTGGGTAAATGAAACAAAATAGTGATGATGAAGGCCTTAGATAATCATACTGGATTTAACAATAATTAGTGTACATGCTACTTTGAACCTTCATATATATGAAACAATTGAGTTTGAAGGAATTTCATGTATCAACTTATTTTGAGTTAGGAGACAATTAACGAACCTAATAACACCTACGACAGCCCTATACAAACCGTTACATTTTATTATTGTGATAGATTACTGCTAAGGTGTGGTGCACTTGTTGATGTTCCAAGGCACAAAGATATTTCGCTGTGTACTACTACGTTGACAAGAAGAACATGATAAAGCAGTACTTTGTGTTGGATAAATGATGTATGAACTAGTTTAAAAGAGCTGGATCAAAGTACCATCAATGTGCAGCCAAAAGTAGGAAAAAGATGAATAGATTGAAACTATAAAAACAGTGATCACTCATTACTTTCGAATAAACAGTATTTAGGTAAACTGATTTCGATATCGCTTGTGAATTTGGCTTATTTTTACACTTTCTAATAATTGATTGCTCAGGACAAATTCTTTTTCATTTGCGCTTCTTAAACTGCTCTATAGGGGTAAACTGAATCGACTGAATACAAGCTTATAAAGTGATACCGAAAAGAAATGAACATTTTTATACATTGAGAATATCTAAATTTTAACTAGAGCTTCAACGGATTTCAAGATGAGTATGATGAATAAATAGTAGAATACCAAGTGGTTGAAGTGCTCGACTTTCAACCGGTAGTTTGAAGGTCCGAACATCATATCATCGACCTCGGTTTAAGCAACAAGACGGCATCATCAGCCACTACATATACCGCAGTATGAAGTTCAGTATATACACTTTTGCTCTGTAAATGCGTGTCAATATTGTATATGTAAATATTATTAATAAAATGTGGTTCGATAAACTATTCATATTGTTTGAAACAACTTTTAAACATAGGTTCATGGCCTTAAATCACATTTCACCTAACAAAGTTTACACACCAGGATAGTATCATACGCCACCACCAAACAGCGAATTTTTATTGAATTATTCTTATACCACTGAACCAGTTGGGTCTTTCGAGAGTATACGAATTATAAAAGCCTCGTATACTGCTAATTACTACTACGAGTGATTCATAAGTAATCTCAAAATATACAGGAAACTGGTAAGAGGAAAATATACAGGTTTGTGGAACTCTGATGTGATATACAGATATCGAAATACCTGCTGATTATTGCACGGTTCTGCGAGGCGTCTACAAACAGCCAATAACGAACGAACATTGTGGTTCAAATTTATCCGGGTTTGAACATATGGAGATTCAAAGTTCCCCAATTGGTCAGAAGGTTTATCAAGGCCTAAAACTGCGACTAAACCAGGTGCCCCAGATTCACATGAGCGCAATAGTTCTGAAAGTGGTGTCACGTTGTAAGGATCTTGACCACACCATGGACCATAAACATTGGCAAGTAAACTTTGAAGAAAATTGAACTGTACATTGATTGGCTGAGGAACACGAAAGCTTAAACAAGAAAATACATCAATTAGGACGACAGATCAAGAAAATCTGTAACAACAACAAATAAATATATCTCAATGGTACATGAGACACTCGCCACTTACCCAAGTATCACTAAAGCTTCTAAAAGAATACCTTTCTCCATACTTCCACAAATTTTCTCCATCCAAAGTTTATTTATTTCATTTAATATTTTATCAAAATAAGGCTACAAAAACAAATGAAATACTAAAATCAAAAGGATAATTAAAACTTTTCACGATAATCTAACATATAAACAGTCAATATATGATTATTCGACAGTAATGTAGATAAACTAATTATTATGACAAAATCAATTTTCAGTAAACTACATAAACATAAAGAAAATCCGTCAACCAGGGTTGTATAAACCCCCATAATTAATATTCACTATAAGATATAAAAAGATCACGAAATCTTGCTTGTTGGTAAACAAAATATCAAATATATTTGTTGATGTAAATCATAACCGTGAGTGGGCTATAGACTAGATTAAAGCGTGCTTCGTTCAGAATTGTGTTAGAGTCCCGACCGTAGCTGCTACCTTTACGCGGTGGTCGGGCTTGCCTATCGTGATGAAGCAACCGAGCTATATTGACTGGAACATATGCCCTGTAGGTTCTACCATGCCAGGCAGGTCGATTGGAGAACGGTAAGACTAAAAGCAGCAACTCAAGGTCCGGGGGCGAAGTTGTACTGCTGACTGTAGAGAGGTGTGACAGCAGTAAGGTGTTTCCTTTAGACAACCAGCATCTGCATCGATGCTGCCTTCTCACAAGGAAGGAAGAGGTTAGAAAATATCGACCCTAAAGATGTCACACTTCACCTTACCTCACGGATTTCCGTCTCCGGCGGTAAGGCCCTTTGAAGAACGGAGCTAACACGTCAAAAACCTCCCACAAAAAGGCCGTGCGCGACCGGCCTCAAGCAGTTGTCCCGTGAGCTCTGCGATCACGCTCCCAGGTCGTGAAGGTCGACATTAATTTGACTTCCTTTCCAGGTTCCTCAAGAAATACCCTTCCACGGTGTGGGCAGCTGGGAAGTGACATCAGCCCTCATACCCGTAACAGCACATGAGACCAAGTTGGTCATATTCAAATCCTTCCCACACCTCCTAATACCTCTCTTATCTCCATGACTAACCCTTCTCACGTCCGTTTATCACATCGCACCGCTAGGGCAAACGATTCGAGTACGCGGAACGTTATTCCTGGTCTCCTGAAACCACGCTCTAAACTTCATGTTGGAGTTTATAATGTCCGAACACTGTGCCAAATAGGACAACAAGCTTCCTTAGCTAGGACTTTGGAATCTCGCACCATCGATGTGTGTTGCGTCTCCGAAACGCGCAAACAGGATCCGAATAGCGTCATTCATTTGATATAACCATGTCAAAATGAAGAACCAACTCGATTCGCACTTCGTGTATATGGAAGCCCAGATGCTGCTTCTCGTGGACTCGCCGACGTAGGTATAGCATTGAGTCCTAGGGCAGAACTAGCTCTCTTAGAGTGAATCCCAGTAGACAGTCGTTTGTGCGCTGTTCGACTGAACGGGACAGTAAGGATCCGAAAAGATAGGGACACTCGTCGTTGCCTCTTCGTCGTCTCTGCCTACTCTCCCACTGACTGCAGCGCAGATGATGTAAAAGATGAGTTTTACAGAAAGCTCTCCGACCTTCTCCGAAAAGCTAGGCGCTCTGATGTAGTAATAGTGGCCGGTGACTTTAATGCTCAAGTAGGTAAACTAAGCGATAAGGAAAGACACCTGGGTGGATCTTATGGTGTCGTGGCTCAAAGAACAGATAATGGCGACTGTCTGTTGTAGCTATGCTCAGATAACCGCCTCTTTCTTGCAAATACTAACTTTAAGCATAAGTGAAAACATCTTTTAACATGGCGACCCCCTAATTCGTCCCAACGTTGGATCCAAATAGATCACATCGTTATCAGCCACCGATGGATGGGCTCGATAGAAGACTGTCGCTCATTCTGTAGCACATGCTTAGACTCAGATCATGCTCTATTACGAGCGCGTATTTGCCTGAGTTTTACTGGACGTAGGAAAGACGCTGCAAGGAAACCTTTTAGGGTCCTATTTAATGATAGTCAAGCTAAGAGTATATTTCAGGAACAACTAGAAAAACAGTTAGGCAGCCAAGTAGGTGATGCCTACCCCAAGGCAGCATGGAATGATATCCGAAAAGCTGTGGAAACAGCAGTGATATCTGCTAGTAAGGTAAACCAGAAGGTTAGGGAGCAACACTGGATCTCAGCAGCATCTATCGCACTGATAGATGCTCAGAAACTCATTCCACCTGGCTCTAAACATAATGAAGAGCGGAGTCAGCTTAAGAGCAAGCTGACAAGAAGTCTACGCAATGGTCGTGAAGAGTGGTGGGTAGTGAAAGCAAGAGATGGAAAAGGCAGCGGCAATAGGTAATAGCAGACAATTGTTCAGACTTGTTAAGGAAACCGACTGTTAGCGAAACACTCTCAAAGAAAGATTGACATATTATACATTCTCAATCCAGGAGATTGGATCGATGGGCAGAACACTTTAGGAATCAGTTCAACTGGCCTTCAGCCACACTTCGGTTTCTCACGATCTCCAGTCTACCTGAATGGCAAGTTAATGTAAGTCCTCCGACTCTTTACGAAGTTGAAAAAGCTATAGGAAATCTGAAGCGAGGGAGGGCAGCAGGCCCTGACAGGTTTACTCCTGAGATTTTTGAGGATGCTGGTCCAGTATTAGCAGTGAGATTAACTGACGTCTTAGGTAGAATTTGGGAACTGGGCGCAATCCCATCTGACTGGTCTCAATCACTGATTGTGCCAGTCTATAAGAAAGGACAAAAGTCCTCTTGTGACAATCACAGAGGAATCGGTTTAACTAATATAGTGTCTAAAATATTAGCAAACGTTGGCAAGGGCTGTGTTTAACACAATCAGATCGATCATTTTTGTTCTGTCGGTATTGTGTCAAATAATTATTATTCTACTTTAAAATATCTAAGCGACAGAAAAAAAGAAACAAATTCTTAATAAAAATCATACAATTAGATCATTTCGTAAAAGAAGTATGGAACTTACCATCATTCTTATAGGACGAGCACGAGTGAAACGAAGAAATGATGTTGCAGATGCTAAGTGCATAGTTTTAACTTGCCGTGGTCTATTTACAAAATCAAGTGTATCGATTAAAGATGGAGATTCATCCACAACAGGACAAGAGTTTAAAGATTCAAAAATCTAGAACATAATTAAAAGAAAGTAATTCGTAAGCCATATAAGCAACATCTCAGACTAAACTGCTACATAAAACACAATCCTTAAGTATTACGAGTTGAAATACCTTCAATAATCAAGCCCAGTTAGATGAAAGATAAGCTCCCACAACATATACCATCATATTATTGGTCAACATTTCATTAATTAGGAATAAATTTTAGGCCAATAAGAAATCGCTAAATTGCTCTCAGAAAAACACTGATTAGTATTCTATTTTAATGAAAGCAGTGTTGCAAAGATATGATAGACATCACTGGTATGAAGTTCACAGTCAACGATTTAATATTGAAATTAACGATATAGGACACAAAATTTAGTAGTAATTCCCAGTCTACATAAAATAAGGTTCCTCCTACTCAAGGATATGGATATATGTGTAAAGTCTAACAGATAAAACTTATGGTATTCATATCTACCACGAACGGAATAATTATAAATTATTTGAAGTTCGGTAGGTATCATAAACTAATAAATACCTCGTTAGTTCCTGATTTACTTTTCCCAACTACACTCTTCTACTTTGAGTGTCTGGAACAATTTTATCGTTTTTGGGAATATTCTCATCAGATAAATCAGAAATGAAAACAAATAAGAGTACATACGTGTCCTTAGTCTCTTTCAGCGTTTTTTTTTTCAAAAAAAGACAAAAATTTGGTCTCACATGTTGCTAAACTGTCTAAATGTATAAATCTATAAACAAATAAAATCCACTTGCATAAGAATGAATTTACATATTTAATTACTTTCAGCATAAAGGTTTCGGCATAATAGACGTTGAGCTAGTAGTGGAACATTCTATGTAGGTGAGTCTAGGTAGCAATAATAGAAACGTTAAGCATTAACAATAACGACAAAAATTACCTTATTTAAAAAGGGTACCAGAAGTTCTGAATCATTATTTGAATCAACATGTTGTAATAGCATTGATAAACAAGCTAGATGCTTAGCACGAAGGAGTGGATCCATACTATTTGAAGATTGTAAAATCCCATGAATCAAATTTTTTACTTTTGAACTAACATCCATATCAATATGAAGAGCCTCCAATGATTGTTCAACAGCTGATAGACATGGTTCTAGAAACGAATCTAAAGCTTCCCATTCGAGTATAAGTGGTGAAGTCGCTAACAGGAATTTAGTAATTGGATCATAATCTGGAAAAGATAACAAAAAACACGAAAATACACTACGAAACGGGAGGTTTGATAAACCGGATAGAAGAAAGAGAGAGAAACATCCCGTAATCCACCCAAAATTAATAATTTACGTAAAAATGTTAATACAAAGCAAATTTATTGATTATATCTGTTTAAAATACCTTGACAGGAAGGAGATGCTTGGATTAGTGTTTCAATCCATGATATACACAAAAGTAAAACTTTTTGTGGCCAGCAAGACGCTCCAGCTGACAAACACTTCACTAAATCACTTCGGTATCCTGAAAAGAAATAAGTGAACAAATACCATAAAATTAATTTCAGATATTTAATTTGGCTACACCATACTTTCGAAGTTATTAGGACCTTTTGGAGGATAAATGTTTATTTTAAAACATAGTTGTGCTCTTTATATATGATTATTCATAAATAAGCATTTAAAAGTCAGTCTATGGGTACTGATGTAAAGATGGGAATCGTATTAATTACATAGAAGCTAGAAAAACTACTTAGCAGACCGCAACAAAGTAAGTTAGGTAACTTTCAAACCACAACTCATATGTAATCTGTTTACGATCACACAAAAAACACATGGATTACACTACTGTCATCTATACACCCACTCAAACACATATAAAAACATGTTTCACATAGAATCCTCGTTGCTCCGAATAAAATGACGTTAGTATGATCAGAATTGTTTGTATGTAATAAATGTTTAACCTAATTTGTTCACTGAATTAAACTGAAAAAGTAGTTACAAAGTTTATGAAGAAATACACTCAGTCACGAAATGTCAAAAATCCAGTTTTCTACCCATTGGGATATTGCAAATATGTTTCTGTCTTCATTATCATAACTTAATAGTTGTAAGTTAAGTTTCTGGATCAATGAGACGTTTGACTAACAAAATTGAATAAAACTTACACAAATAAAAACGTTTATGTTGGACGACAGAAATATATGTATAGCTGGAAGAAAACCATACTACAATACATCCACATAATAGTTTCTCTCATAGCACTAAGAATTTTTAACTGTTTTTGGAATCAATGACATTTTGCTAAAATATTTGGGAATTCATATCCCGGAGAGATCTCAGTAGTTTAATAAATAAGCCAATAGGGATGGAATCTCCTTGTAATATTTATTATAGTTCAACAGATACTGTAGTGAACAAGAACACGAGTGGGGACAACCGAATGCATTTGACACGAAATTACAGAGCATCTCACTAAAATCTGAGAACTATATAGTAAATGGTTAATTTGCAAAATATCAATCCGTAGTCTCAAACTTGACTGTTCCTTTTCCAAATGTTAGTGTCCATTGTCTCAGGTTTCATTGTTCATGCATTTCCATACCAATTGCGTCCCGTTTCCGTTCTTTCATTATCGATCTTCTACTGAAATACATTCTATGCCTGGCCACCGTTATATACTACTTGTGAATATAAGTAGCTCACACCACAATACCACTTCAAGTTCCAAGTTTGCGAAACTACATACAAGCATCACTAAATTTGTGCATATACGGCAACTGACCAGGTTATGATATTGGGCACTAACACTGAGTTTGGTGAAGCTGCATAAATGCGAATGAGGTTGTGAAAAGCCACCAATCATCATTTGGAGCGCTCTTAGGCTGAAGTGTAAGACATTTATGCATGAACGACTAACCACTCAGATAAGATAATTCATTATTACTTAGCTAAATTCATTTTGCTATTTCCCTATAACTGCTTGGAATGAAGTACAGAGGAACGATTCAATAATCAGTTATGCAAGACCCAATTCATAGATGACAACAAGTGAATGACGGAAGTCATTAGAATATCGCAAGAGGTACTAAAAGATAATTGAACACATAACTAGCAGTTAAATGTTAGTTTAGGATTTCAAGTATACATTTTATTAATAATATTAGTCACACGGAAGTTTTCTGGATGAAATCGCCACTTTCTAAGCAGAACGCTATATTTTTTTCAACTAATATATTTAAACTGAATATAAAACTTCTTAAATTTTGGAAAATTTGTGGTACAACATGATTGTGTTATCTCTAGTGTTTAGAGTGTTATGGTGTTATTTTCGAATAATAAGTTAGAGGCAGATGTTAGCCAATAAATTCAGGGACAAGAAAGAATGTATGTAACAAGTGACATGGAAATGATCCAGATAGGAGTATGTTCTCTACCATCTTTCAAAATTATGTACGTAATACTACCATATATATAGTTTCCTGTTCATTTATAAATTATATTTCCCTTTCCTAAATATCCAGTGATAAGCTGGTGAAAAGTATGGTCTTCATTGATGGATTATCATACTAAGACATATGTTGTGTCCGCTTGTTAGTTAACTGCCGAACGATAAAAACAGTATGGTCTTGATGTTGGTTTGCTATAAATGATGAAGAATGTTATCTACTTAACATTGTAGTTCAATGATTGAGAAGCATTAAGGAAACTGAGATTGAAATTAAATCAATGCTTTTTCCTGTTGGTCAAGAAGGTAAGTCATATTATAACCAGTAAAACAGTGCCATTGCAATCTAGACATTTTTTCTTTACTTAGAACTAAATACAGTAAACTAAAGCGCAAGAATATCCAATTACTTGGTGAATTAAATTATTTGCTTTAAAACAATAATTTATTTAGTAATATTCTCACAACTAAATAATCATTGTAGGACAAAATTTAGAAAATGGTAGCAATAGTGAAGTTCTCGAAATTATATCAGCTAATTCATTTTCTTTACAATAGTGATTAGTTTCAACTTACGGGAGAAAAAACTAGTATGATCGTCGGTTTCGAAAATCCTTCGGTTCCACTCACTTTGAATACCAGTACCAGATGGTTGACCAACCTAACAAATTAGCAATAAAATATAGTAGCCATTGTGGTAAACAATTAGTATAAGTAGACGCATTTGCCGTATTTTGTAAATCAACTGTTGAAACAACTTTCAAATGTAGATTGACTACCAACGCTACGTGTGTATAACTTATCGATAAGATACTGTTATCGGCTTCATATGAATATAAATTTCACCTATGACTAATTAGTTTGATGAGTCATATTAATGAAGTGACTGTTTTCGAAAATGATACTTTCACCATTAATTTGTTTTAATAATCACACCAAGTCTCGCGTTATGGAAACAAGCTAAGATTAAAGTGAAAGCCCTCCAAGAGAAAGTTTACTGTGATCGCTTGAGAATATTAACAACTGAATGTCCTATCCAAAGTGTCAAACGAACTAAGAGAAGATTGTGTTGTTGAAAACTTACTTTTTCCTGTGTCAGATTATCAACTATTACCAATGAACCTGAAAGGTCTTTGCAGTCATATCACTTCTGATAAGGATTGACTTAATGTAACTCCGTAAGGTTTAGTCGTTTTGCGGGTGGATCAAACTGAAGTAAAGTCATAATGGCATATTTCAAACCCATGAAAATTAGTCACAAATACTTTTTAGACCCGCGCATGTCGATTTTAATAGAACAGCCAACCACTAACGGTCTTATGAAAATAATGAAACTAAGGATTTTACAGTACAGTTTTCTTTCGATTTTGGATTAACCTACTAAATAAACAAACAAAAGCTCAGGATACCTTTTATTTTAGTTCAACTTGTTTAGTAATTTTTACATTAGTTAACAAGTTTGTTGGTGCAATTAATGAACTGAATTTTATAGACTATTTATAAATACTCTCCAATAAAACCCGACTTAGCTAATATGATTTAGTCACTGAATGACTTACTTTTAATGAATTCTTCCGCCAAATGCTAAATAAATCATCCGCAAACCTTTCAGTTAACTTTAGTAAAGATTTTTCGTCTGAACGAAGAACGGTGATCCAAAATTTGTTAGTGCACGCTGATATCACCTGGTACCAAAAAGTCAAACATTACACAAAAGCACTTATAGGAAAATATACTGTACATGAGAAAATACAGAAACACTTTATATAGACTCATGCGTACCGATGTTAAAAGTCATAGTAAAGAACATAACAAGCTTAATTACAATTCCAAAATCCTCCAAGAACTTGAAATTTCTCTTTTCTAATATTAATAGACCATTTTCATAAAAGATGGATTTATAGCTGAACTAACATTTAAACAAAGTGGAGAACTCGTATTATCAAATACTCACTGATAAATGTCAAAGACTCTTATTCCTGTACAACATGCATTTAGTAGTTCAGTTAACTATAACGAATTATCATTTCTTTGATTCCATTTGAGATAACATCACTCACACATATACTACTATTTATTGGTCTTTCAAACAATGCATACTCTCATACATTTAATTTGTTGCTAAACTTGACTTTATGGTAACTCTGGGCGACTAGTATGATTCTCATCAGAACTCAAGGTTCATACTAGATAACTGTATTTGAATGAGAATATACACAACTTCAAATATCACAATCTATATTAAGTGGCGGACATTCACATTCAACATCTGAACATGACTAGACAATTTTTGGAAACGCTATGTTTACGACCTCATCACTGATTACCATTTTTAAACTCCAATCAGGCTGTCAGGAGAAGAGCTGAAGGCATTGGATCTTGATAACCAAGATTTCCATAAATTTAACGTGATTTCTAACGTTTTACATACATTTGAAACCCAAATTCTTGTAAGATTGCAATTAAATTTTGAAAGAACTTCGCTTAAAACTAGAAACTTCTAAACTGTACAGGGGTCTCTTGAACTCTCTGCCATGACTTATTAGACGTAAACTGAACACAGTATTATAAGCAAAGATGGATAGTGGCTAGCAGTGGAATCCAGGACGCGCGTTTCAAGTAAAACAATACCAAGTGAATTAAACTTCACCCCATTGCACAAGTAAGTGGCTATCAGGACTCAATAGCTAAGTGGATAACGCGATGGCGTTTGAAACGAATGGTACTGAGTTCGAGTCCCAGAGTGAACATCAACTCTGAGATGCAGGTACATCCAGCTGACGAGTCCCAAACAAGACGAAACGCGCGTCCTGGATTCCACTGCTAGCCACTATCCATCTTTGCTTATAATGCTTGTAAATTAAGGCAATATCGAGGCATACGCACAGTATGCACATATGCCAATAAGAGACTGATCAATTTCAGTCCTAAAACGTCAATGGGAAGATTCAAGTAAAACAATACCAAGTGAATTGAACACAGTATATTATATTATTACAGTGAAAGCTTTATATTTTCGCCAAAGACTAAATGTATTCATTCGTGACTGAAACTAAGCAAAAAATATATGTAATAGAAAAGTTTGCTTAGTTAATCGTTTAGTTACATTTATGTCACCTTCAATATCTAAATACGTTGTATAAACCGTGGTCACAGATCTGACGCAATATGTTTGTATGTGTTTTACAATAGCTCAGTACAAAATTTATAAATCACAGTACACTACTTAGAACAAAATCAGCATTATTTATGGAGCGGTTATTGGTAAAATAATATTAAAAACTGATAAACTGAACGAAATATTTGGTAGTAAACGGCTATACAACACTAAACGTAAAAGGGGATGTAAATTAGATGTTTGTTGATCATAAAAAGACGGTGAGAACACGACAATTTTATTTTTTTTTACTGCTTCACAAATTTAAATATTTTCAATGCCACTTCTATAAACGTACTTGGATTGGGTAGGCAGTCAAACGTAAAATTGCCTGGAAGAGATGTGATGGTAGGTTAGGACATTCACATACACCATTGTCCAAGCAATTGCAGAGAGCGGATTCATATGAATACTCCTTCCAATGGATAATCATATGACAACCAATATGGACTACAATATCACCAAATAGCCTTAAGAAGTTGTAACGTTCATCAGAATACTCGGGATTTTCGGATAATGTAGAACTAAAAAGCACAAGGAATATTTTGGCTCACTTTTAACGAGAAATAACTAAAAACAATGTAACTATGAAGCCAACTTACCATAAAACTTTTATGAGATTATTGCATGGAGATGAAGATCCCAAAGGCTCTTTCAGAAAACTGTCAGCTATAGTTGGGCCATATGAATCTGGAATTTCGGATCCCGGTTGTATTCGTCTGGATAGCAAGATATTTATCAAACTTAGAGCATCGGTTTGTAAACTTCTAATCCCAACGAGCGTAGTAATTAAACTCAGAAATGGCAAGGTGCGACTAAGGTTGAGGTTTTTGATGGCGATTTCTGAAGGGGTCCAAGAAGTCAAAACATTTAGACGACATGACTCTAGGAACCCTCCCAATGTACATAATGACTCACGACAGATGTCAAGTGAGTCGCAGTCGATGAATGAATCCTAATTTGTATTGAAAGTAGAGTAAATAATGAACATACGGCATTCGGGAGTCTGTTGACAATACTATCAAGTGCAAAAACAAATATCTCGGTCAAGTTGTCATTCAGACCTGTTAAAATATCACGCCGTCGAGAGGGTGGAGCATCTTGGAATTGTATAACATCTTCGTACAATCTTAAGAATGAATTCAGCACTAATTTAGTTTGGGGAATCTAATAAGAGTAGATCATTTAATAAGAAACATACCCCTAATTTTCCAAGGGACAGGAATTCAGGTAACATAGTAGGCCATTGCTGAGGCCATTCACACTTGATGAGGAAAACGATAATTTGACTCAACATTAGAGTGAAAGCGCGCATTTCTTCTCTAGAAAACCGAAAATTATTTATCTTACTCAGTAAGAAATAGATAAGGCGTACTTCTCTTGAAAGTTTAAAAAGATTTTGTTTCAGGCTGGATTTCGCATGAAACCCCATCTGACCCCAATGATTTCTAAAACTTGGATGTATGCTACGCGACAATACTTTAAGTAATGATCTAAACACTGAAGTCCAAAAAGTATGATAGCAGAAGGCTGGTTCGGATTACACAGAAAGTCAACATCAGCATACTGGAATTGCTCATTTTTGTAATTCTCAGCTACCTGTATATTTATAAACAACAACAAAACCGCATTACCATGAAGCATTTACTTCGCTGATCGTTATCAATAGTTGGATCTAGGAGAGAAGAAACTGCCATAAGAAGTGAGTCTCTATCCATCTCACAATGCCCACGCGATCTACAAAGAAGTATTAAGGAAATTACTGTACACAGAAGCGAAGTAAAGTTGTCCAGTTCCATATCAGTCACAATCAAAGGTAAATAATACATAGCAAGACGCCAATACTGCTTAGAAAACTAGTATAGAGGTTGTGGAGATTATTACGTTCTTGATTGAGATCATGAACTGATTGATTTTAGACCACCACCTTTGGAAACCTGGAAGCACTGGACGACCGTTTCGTCCTATTGTGGGACAGGAATCTACCTCAGTACAATGGAAGTTGGTCGCGCAATTTTGTGGATTAGTTGACGTTAGACACTATCACCATTGGATGCTGGCTCAGTGGTTCAGTTGGTAAAGCGTTCGCGCGCGAGACCGAAGGCCCTGGGTCCGGGATCGTGGTTGCACACTGCTGAGGAGTCCCACAATAGGACGAAACGGCCGTCTAGTGCTTCCAGGTTTTCAAAAGTGGTGGTCTAACATCAATCAGTTCATGATCTCAATCAAAAACTGTTTAGAAAATTTGGTTTCAGACTCTGATTTGTCAAACCCTGACAGGGGAAACTGAATGAATCGTCACATTTAACAGTGTATACATTCTTGCTACGGGACGTTATGCCTGAAGAATTACTAGTTTCAATAATAGTCGTCCCTATAATTTACTGAAAGATTCCAGTAGTAACTGGAAAACCGTTTTTGATGCAACAATGCTGTAAAAAGATGTAAGAATTCCAACGGACTGTCAACTATGAATTTTTAGAAGCTAGTTAATAAAGCGCCCACTAACGAACTCCACCATGATCACTGAAAACGAAAAATAATAGTGAGACCTTGTAAAACCTAACTGGTCATGAAGGAAGTAGAGTCATTCATTAGTAGATTCAAGAAGCTGAAAACGGGAAAAGTGAAAAAACTTTCCTAAAGACACTTTTTTAGTGAGTGGAAGTCTAATTGTTAAAGCACTCCACCATCAAACAAGAGAGTATAATCTCGAATTCCGGTCTACCTACATTAATTCAGGAATCCATGGGAGTCCGCGAATCCACAGACGTTTTCCAGAAACAATCAACTGCATAACGCGACAGCTGTTATGCAAAACTTTAGTGCCCATGATGCTTTTTAGAAAATTATTTCTAATCAGGAAAACTAAAACCTTCAAATGGGAATTGTGGGGAGTCGTTTCATTACAGCCCAGTGGAGAAAGTCAGATTTTAGCCTTATTCCAAGGACATTTTATTTGAGTCCTTGAGTAACCCCCTTAAAACTTGTTTTTTTTTTAATTTGCTATTCATGAAAGTTGGTTAGAATCAATACTGGAAGGTATAGCTACCGCGAACTACCTTGTTGCAATAATCTGACATCCTGTAATTTAGCTTGCCTAAGCTACTAGACGCAGGAACCTCAGCCCATCGCATTTAGATGTAAGCAATGTCAGAAAAAGACATAATTAGTTAAGTCTTCTACAGAGGTAAGATGAGTGTCCTAAGTTAGAACTTCTAAGTTGTAATCCGTTCGGCATTTTAAAGCATATTAATATGGGTAGACTTCAGTAAGAGTATGCAAAATCACGAATTTCATCTGACGAAACTTGTATTATTTGTTGTTAAATAAACCTTTAGGTTTCAAAATAAATCCATACATCACAGTGATTACGAAGTGGGTGATTATTGACGACCAACTTACAACAAGCACCACAATGCGTGTATCAGTGAAACGTATCACTTCGAAATCCCCCACTTAATTAACCTTCGGACAATAACGTGAGTATTCACTCTTTGATAAGTAGTAATAGAAAATCGCTGGCTCCTTTTAGTTCTATGTTTAAGTTGTAAGAGATGCTCCTCTGTGGCATATAATCCACTAAAATAAATATCCTAATCGTGGTGCGTGATATGACAGTCCTGAGATTTTCCAACTTGTTAAGGTCTAACATACTTTTTGTCTGCTTATGACATCGAAACATTTAAGATCAGTTAGAGCTCATATTTTTTTGAATTATTTACTCGTGTGGTATATTTTTAGTTATTTCCTATAATCTTCCAGTGTCGTGTGTACTTTTTTAAATCTCATTCTAACAATCTGTCAAATCTGATACAAATTTCGTTAAAAATAACTTTGAAACTCATAGTTGAATTTTGTGCAAATTTAATCGTAATGGCCGACCGTATTTATCAATGTGAACAGTCTAATTCTCCTTTCTTTGTTGCGAAAGGAGTGCTACGTAATTTAAGGATTGGTTTTATATGATTTATACCCGTCTAACACCCACTACATATAAGAGATATTCAAGTTCTAACTATCATTAACTCTATGTTTTACTGCTTGAGAAAATCACTGATGATTTCGATGGTAGTTATTCGTGTTGATGAAAAAAATCGAGATTTTAGTACTGACAGTAAAAACCGTTCCAGTACGGCACGTGCAACTTTCGTACAAGATAAAAACTCAACCATTAAAAGTAAAGACAGGAAATCTCTTAAGGAGAGCGTGAAAAAATCTATCAGGTTGATGGACCACCTATTGTTGAATGTGATCACAAATTCACTTAACATTAAAACCCAAGTACAACTGTCATCTATTCAAATAGTCACGATATTAACAAACTTAGCGATGTGGAATGAAAATCTGTGAGGCAGCCAGTGAGGAATGCAGAGTCAGTTACTGAAGGCTCATCATCCCTTAAGTTACAGAATACCTCCCCGAAGCTACAAAGTAAGATAAAAAATGCCTTGCTCAGGAAAAATAGTGAAATATCTTCGAATGTTGTTTTTCGAGATTTGGATGAACCTAATGGCTTTGATCCTGAAATTAAATTTGCATTTGATCGAGTAAAGACTGAGATATCAACTCATATCATTAAACCACATCGTTTAACACGAGTACTGATCAGAACAGACAGTAAGATCAAAGAAAATTTTATCTTCCGATCGTGTACACTCCATAAGATGATTTTAGAGTTAGTGAGACAGCAAAATATTGAAAGAGACAACAAACTAATTACACTTGTAGTCCTCCCAAGTGGTAAGCAAAATATGAAGGTGAAAATAGGCGCTCTTGGTGCGAAAACAGGGAATCCAGATTTCCAAAATAAAATTGCAAAAGTACGACATTAACCAGGTAAGTTCTGGGGATCTAGTGTCTCGAACATTTGGGATAACGTTATTGAAGTACATGAAAATTAAGTTCCATAATCTGTCCAAACAAACGTTACACTGAACCTTTATAAGCACACCCACTACGAGCACTGAAATAAATTAAACGATTTATTCGCCTCTTTCTAAGAACGGCATGTTAAAACAGTGGAATGTTGACTTGAAAATGCAGTATCAACTTTAAGCATTTTCGTTTATGTTATATTCAGTAAAATCACAGCTGTCATTATTTAAGGACCCATGTCGTTCATCAATTTCGCCATTATGCACATGATCAGGCCAGCAGTAGACTCATTTCAGATAGTATATTTACACGAAATTTTGCTGCTGAAAGCGATGCAGTTCAAACAAAACTTGGAAGAAGACGTTCATAATGATGATGTCACAGGTATTCAGTGTTTGACAACGCTTCTACCAGTAACACCTAATGTATTTCGTTCCCACCCAGAGAAATCAAAAGACAGAGTCGAGGAGATCGGAAGAGTGTATTTGGCGATGACCAGTATATCGGAATTCTCTGATCTAATCTGGCTAGCGATTGCGGTTGATGTTGAGCACGGCGTTACCACACGTGATCTGGTGCGGATGCATGACCGAGCGCCTTCAGCTAGACGAGTCCACTAAAACATATGGTCAGCATCCAATGTCGAAAACTCAGGGCTATTTATTTTGGGGATTTATTTACCGCTACAGATCACTCCCCCCCTAGTGGGGCAGTGACGACCCTAAGACGTGGCCAGCCAGAAGTTTAAACCCAACGAGTTTGTCGTTGGTAAACACTCTTCTGATAGCTTACTAAATGTAGCAGCGTCTGGTCGTCTTTCCTTACTATATGGGATGGAGGTACAACATAGTAAAAAAGGAAAATGTACAATGAAAATTTCGGATCCTCATAAACGTCATCGTTCCTTTTCCAGCCGTCCTGGAAAAGAAAAAAGAAAATGTAAGTGTGTAAGTATGTCGAAAATACACTCGTATGTGCGTAAAAACACAATGTCGGCGGAAAAAAAAGGAAAATAAACTCATGAACACGTAATAGCGTTAAAAAAAATGGTTTTTTTTGTTTGTTTTTTTTAAATAGAAATAAAAATATATAAGCATATTAAAATTTGTTTTTAAAAAATATAATATAATATGTCGAGAAGTGCCTTACGTGCAATAGTCGTTTAAATGTTCTGGAAATCTTACTCTTCTTCCAGAACGCGTCGTTTTAGGTTTATTTTCAGATACATGCGGAGTATCATCGCTAGTATTGGTTGTCGGTTGAGGAATTACGAGTGGAGTCGTGTCGTTCGATTGTAACGAAGGAAAATCGACGTACATAGGATTTCCTTCTAAATACGATGCTTTTAAGCGATCTATGCTGATGCTATCGTTGGTTCCGTTCTTATCGACTATATAGTACTTCGGTTCGCGTTGAAGAACTTTGAAGGGTCCTTCGTATGCTGATTCGAATGGTCGTCGATGTGAGTCTCGACGAACGAAAACGTGTGAACTATATCGAAAGTCAGGTTGAACGAAAACATCGGTTGATTGGGGTCGAGTGGAAGCAGGTTTAACTGAACGCATTGCGTTTGTAAGCCTGTTCGTGTAGGAGGTTAGATGCATGTTCATTGAAGAGGACGAAGGATCCACGAATTCTCCTGGAAGTCGAAGTGTCATTCCATAAACGAGTTGAGCTGCAGTGTATCCAATGTCAGCTTTCACTGCATTGCGGATACCTAGTAAGACGAGTGGAAGAGCGTCAGTCCACTGTGAAACGTTTGCAGCTGATAGCGAAGCTTTCAGTTGTCGGTGAAAACGTTCTACCAACTCGTTTGCTTGTGGATGGTAGGCGGTCGTTCGGAAGCGAGTGATTCCTAAAAGTGTGGTCAGACGACGGAAAAGATCGGATTCAAACTGACGTCCGCGGTCTGTAGTGATAGTTGAAGGGCAACCGAAGTTTGCTACCCATCGTTCGACGAAGGTGCGGGCCACTGTTTCAGCAGTGATGTCCTTGATAGGTACTGCTTCTGGCCATCGAGTGAAACGGTCTACGCAGGTTAAGAGGTAAGAGTATCCATTTGAATCTGGTAGAGGTCCTACCAAATCCAGATGAATATGGTCGAAACGAGCATCGGGAGTTTTAAACGAGCCTAAGGGACATTTATTGTGTCTGATGACCTTAGATTTTTGGCAGCTTACACAGGAGCGTGCCCACTCCCTCACGTCTTTATTCATTCCAGGCCAACAAAACTGTTCTGCTATAAGCTTGATGGTTGCACGAACACCTGGATGCGAAAGTTTGTGCAATGTGTTGAAGACATTGCGTCGATAATGTTTCGGCACGATTGGGCGATCCCTACCTGTAGACGTGTCGCAAAGTAAGGTTTCGTTACCTGTTCCCATCTGTTTGATGCGTAGTTTAAGTGTTGTGGACGATAACTCGTGCTGAAGATCACTGTCTTCTTTTTGAAGCTGGGCGAGTTTAAGAAGGTCGATTCCTTGGAAACTGTTCAAGGAAGTTATACGAGATCAAGCGTCTGCAACTACATTGTTTGCTCCAGAGATGTGTTGAATGTCTGAAGTAAACTGCGAAATGTAGTCCAGTTGTCGAGACTCACGGGGAGAGTACTTGTCAGAAGGAGAGCTTAACGAGAAAGTGAGCGGTTTATGGTCCGTAAAAAGAGTGAATTCACGACCTTCGATGTAGTGTTGAAAATGCCGTACAGAACAATACATAGCTAGGAGTTCCCTACCGAATGTGCTGTACCTCGATTCGGTGTCTAGCAACCGTCTAGAGAAAAATGCCAAGGGTTGCCAGGAGTTGTTAACCGATTGTTGTAAGACTCCTCCGATTGCCAAGTCGGATGCGTCTACTGCGATGCTAATGGGTGCTCGGGTGTCCTGATGTGCGAGCATTGTTGCTTTAGCAATCAGTTCCTTAACTGTGGAGAATGCTTTTCGTGCGGTGTCGTCCAAATTAATGGATTTCGCATTTCCACGAAGTTGGTCGGTTAGCGGTTTCATGAGTAACGCACATTTCGGTATGAATCGTCTGTAGAAACTTACGAGACCGTTAAACGTGCGTAATTGCTTGACGGTGGTCGGTTCTGGGTAATCCAGAATGGCCGCCACTTTGGTCCTAAGAGGTCGAATGCCTTGAGCATCGATAGTGTGTCCTAGGAAGTCTAACGAGTCGGTTCCGAATTGACATTTCTGAACGTTTACAGTTATGCCATGTTTTTGAAGTCGTTCGAAAACAAGATCCAGATGCTTGAGATGTGTTTCTCTGTCCGGACTTGCTATTAGGCAGTCGTCAACATACGCGTGTACGAAGTTGAGACCTCGGAAAACGTCGTCTATGAATCTTTGGAATGTTTGAGCAGCATTCCTTAGACCGAAAGGCATACGCAAAAATTCACAGAGTCCGAAAGGAGTTATGATAGCTGTTTTCGGTATGTCGTCAGTAGCCATAGGGATTTGGTTATACGCTTTAACCAGGTCGATTTTCGAAAAGACAGTTATACCTTTCAAGGTAGCTGTCAAATCGTGAATGTGAGGCAACGGGTAACGATCGGGAATGGTTTTCGCGTTCAATCGCCGATAGTCACTA